AAAAAAAAAAATATTTCTAGTTTACATAGCTAAGTTCACTTCACTTTAGTAGCTACATAGCAAGAATTTGAATAACTAACGGTACTGTAAACACTTTAATAAATTAAAAAACAATAAAAGTAAAATAATAAAACAAATGAGATTATTAAAAAGTCACCCTATTTTGAGATTAGCTAATTCTTACTTGGTAGATTCTCCACAACCACTAAACTTAAGTTATATGTGAAACTTTGGTTCTTTATTAGCTTTCTGTTTAATCATACAAATCGTTACAGGTGTAACATTAGCAATGCACTATAACCCTAGTGTAGCAGAAGCTTTTAATAGTGTTGAGCATATTATGCGTGATGTAAATAATGGATGATTAATACGTTATTTACACAGTAATACTGCTTCAGCATTTTTCTTTATAGTGTACTTACACATAGGTAGAGGTATGTACTATGGATCATATAGAGCACCAAGAACTCTAGTATGAACTATTGGTACTGTTATCTTTATCTTAATGATGGCTACAGCTTTCCTGGGTTACCAACATAGCCCAAAATGGTTTGATATAAGTAATAAAGGGATTATTATAAATTATAAAGTAAAAAGATCTTTTAACAAAAGTATGGTAAAAAGAGGTTATCATACAAGCAATTCTTCTAATATAACAGTAATCTCTCAAAGATTAGAAACTATTATTAGTGAATTAGGTTTAAACCCCATATATATGTATGAAAATTTAAATGTAGAAGACACTAAAAAACAAATTTTAAATGATACAAGGGGTTTGAGTGGCGTATACATGATAATGAATAAAACAACAAAAGATTATTATATAGGTTCTGCGTCCACTAATAGATTTTATGCCAGATTCTGTAATCATGTTATTCATTTTACAGGTAGCAAAATAGTTAAATTAGCAATTAAAAAGTATGAAGTGAAAAACTTCGCTTTTATTATATTAGATTTATATCCAAATATCGTTACCAAAGAAAATAACAAAGAATTATTGGATCTAGAAGACAAATATCTAAAATTATTAGTACCTAATTACAATATTTTAACAGAAGCAGGTTCTAGTTTTGGTTGCAAACATACTGAAATTGACCGTCAAAAAATGAAAGATATATTTAGTGATGATAGACGGCAACAAATAGGTAATCTAAATAAAGGTAAAAAGTTATCTCTCGAAACAATAGAAAGAATAAGAGAAAAAGCTTTAGTTAGACCCCCTATGTCAGATGAAACTAAAAATAAATGTGTTGTTCATACAAGACCTGTTGTGTTATATAACTTGGATAGAACTGTCTACGGTAAATATTCTACTATTATAGAAGCTGCAGCTGCTATAAACTGTAATGAAAAAACCATAAGAAGAGCACTGCAGACAGAAAAAAAATTAGTAAAAAGACAGTGAATTATAGAAGATTCATTAAACAAATAAGTTTTCCTGTTAAATCGCTTTTATACTTTATTGCTTTAAAATAATACCTTATTCTTATATTAAATCATAGTCCCATGAGTATATATCTTTTTGCAATTTTTATAGAAAAAAAAA